AAAAAAGTGATGCAGTCACTATTCCTAGAGGTATTGCGAAGGTGGCACTTGGGGAGACTTGTTCAGCTCAGCAATGTTAGGTTAACAGACTGAACTCAATGATGTCAAACATCCTTTCCAATCTAAATGATTCAGATTTCATGTATGGCCTCTGACCAATTCATATTCTATTCCCAGCCTCACTGTCCTCCTAAAGGCTAGAAATATAAGTGTGTGTACTCAGAAAACATTTCCACATGGCTACTTTACCATGTGTATGTGGGATCCTCTTTATATGTCTTATAAAAGGCATCACTTTTTTGTGATATACAGGAGCCACTAATCCCATTTTAATAATTTAACTGCTTCCTTACACTCAGGAATAATAAAATCAGCTTATGCTAAGAACTGAATGGCTGCATAACTCATCAGCATGACCCTATTAACTGCTACAGGCCAAAACACTGGGTTGTTTGTCCCCTTTCCTCCCAAGGGAAGTAATTCTGCCACTCTGGTGGAACTCCATCTGGAGTACTGGGCACAGGAAAGACATGGACATGTTGGAACAGGTCCAGAGAAGGGCCATAAAGATGATCAGAGGGCTGGAGCAGCTCTCCTATGAAGACAGGCAGAGCATGCTCCAGGGAGACATTACTGGAGCCTTCCAACACTAAAGGAAATCTGTAAGAAAGACAAAGACATTTTAGTAGGGCAAGTTGTGATAGAAAGAGTAATGGTTTTAAACTAGGATGGCAGATTTATATCGGACAGAATGAAGACATTGCCTTCCATGAGGTCTATGAGCCACCAGAACAGGTTGTCCAGGAGTGGTGATGTCCTATCCCTGGGAAGATTAATGGTAAGAGTGGAGAGGACTCTGAATTACTTGACCTAGCTGGATATATCCCTGCTCATTGCAGGAGGGTTCACTAGATGACCTTTAGAGGTCCTGTCCAACCCAAGCCATCCCATGAAATGATCCACAAATTAATTTACAGTTCTAAGCACGAATTCTTTCCCAGGAAAAGAAGGCAACCTCTATTTAAATCAGTGAGTGTAATCCTAAATTGTTCTAGAAAGACTTTACAAGAAGTTTAAAAGTTCACTGAAGAGTCTTTCATAGAGGAGCAAAAATAATGGGGGAAAAGAGATTTGGTTAGGTTTGTTCTAGACAAAAAAGGGCATCACACAGTAAAACATTCTTCTAAATTTAAGACAGCCTCCAAAGAATAAATCCAGAGTGATTCTGGATGGGATAGGGGAAAGCAGACTCCTTGACAGGATCATAGAGCAGTTTGGGTTGGAAAGGATCTTTTAAGGTCATCTAGTATAAACACCAAGTAGTTGAAACAATACCCTGAAATTTGGACACCTACTTACAGGAAAAGGTGAACAGAAGCTTAAAGGGCATGATACACACATCCCAAGAAGAGAAGTACTGCTGACACATCAGTACTGTCTTATAAGCAGTACTTCTAATATTCCACTACATCAGCAATGTATTAAGTACAGCATGCACCTTTATTTGACTACGTATTTAGAAATTTTGAGAGTTTTTTCTGATTTTAAATATCCATACAGAAATTGCTTTTGGACTAGCAGCATCAATATTCTACAGCAACATTTTTAAATATAAATCCTGCCCTCATTTCTATACTTTCTACAGTCTCACAACCTTAAGGTGAAGGAGTAGGAAACCCTTTTCATGCTTGTCTTGAGCACCCACTACACAAATTCACACTACTCAGGGGAAAAAAAAAACCTGCCCAAATACCCAAAACAAAACAGAAACCCCCACATAATACAAAATCCCCACAAACAAGCCCCTAAGTTGAAGTTTGAACAGTCACTGGGACAACACAGTTCTTTTTCTTTAAAAGAACTTAGAGTATGAGTTTGTCTCCCAAGCTTCAGCCCAAATTTTAGAGCAGAAACAAAGCAGGAAGTAAGAATCTGAGTTGTAAAGCTAGTTAAGTGATTTCTAAGATGCATACTCTACCTGAAGAAGCCTCAATTTTTTAATAGCTTGGAATCACTTTTTTTCAACTTTCTCAGCAATATTAGAAGTGGCAGACATTAAAATTTATCTTTTCTCAAATTTATCTTTTCTAAAGTACTAGAAACTAATTCTAGAAACTAATTCCTAGAAGGAATATAGTGTAGATATGTTAGATGACTTTAAAAATCTCTTTCAGTAAGGCATACAAAAGAAAACCCTGTGAAATACAATAGGGAAAACACTTTTGTTTCTTTATAGCAATAAAGGATCACATCACCTTCAGATTAAGATAGTTTAGCACACAAATACCTAGAAGGAAAAAAATATTTCCATTTTGACAGGGAATTAGCATCTGTGCCAGACAATCACTCTAATGGAGATCCAAGAATACCATCTGTCTGGCTGTCTCATTCCAAGAATAATTCTGTCAGGTGGCTAAGTGTGTAAAAAGATATGAAAAGGCCATCAAACAGCAAACTGGGGTACTTCAGGCAGGAAGTAAAACAAACCAAGTGTCATAGCTCTAGAATAGCAATTAAATGCAAGCATTGTATTTTTCTATCTTGTCTAAGCAATTGTTTCTTTTGACAAAGAGCTGTCTTAATATTTAAAGTACACCCAAAGCTTTTGAGTCTCTCACAAAATGTACATACTGTGTGCAAGCAAATGCAGATGCACGTGGACTGACTACTGCCTGCTAGCTCACAGCTAACATGGTCCACTTGATTTGAGAATGCAAGGTAAAATTTGTAAATTTTGCAATTTTGCAAAAATGCAAGCTACAAATTTGTAAAGCCTCCAACCATGCACTGATTTTGGAAATGCCTTCCATCACAGCAGTATTAAACAGATGCTTCAACTTTCTGAATGAAACAGGAAAGAGATGTACTTATTGTTTTGTGTTATGCTTTATGTTACATGCTATAGGGTACTCAAAAGAACAATAAAAATGCATGGGTCGCTCTACAGGTAAACAGCTAGCAGAACCAGCACATGATCTAATGGAAGAAAAAACAAATTATATTTATAAGGCCTTGGCTATTCCCTTGTGATAGAACCTCTCAGCATGCCTGTAACAATCTAGTACCATTTCAACTGCACTGTACAATTAACTTGCTCACCAGATGGTCCTGTGCATAACACTCAGTCAAATAAACAGAAGATGTGTACTCTATGTAGGCATCTTGGTTTAATCTCCTCTTTTGGTAGTGGAACTCTTCAATGAGACAGCTATGCACAGGGCCCTTGGCATTTTCTAAGGGCTACAGCAGAAAGCTTCAACTAAGGTCTGGGGCAACCAAGCCAACGTAAATCAAGCCAAAAAGAAATCTGCATTTGCAAAGAAACAACTACGTTTTATCAATAAACTGACATCACAGCTTTGAAACCACATGCAGGCTGTTTAGATACTGAAAGTTGGAAAGGACAGGGTCCTGATTCAATACTAAAAAAACCTTTGCAAAACAGCTGCTAACACAGAAGTTAAGCACAATCAAGCCACTATTTTTAAAAGAGCAATCTGAAAAAAACATGGCAAATCAGTATCATGAGAACACTTAATACTATCTTCAGTAACATGAAACAGTGAGTAGAGAAACTGGTATGGGCTTTGCTTTTTCCAGGTTAATTTATGCTATCAGAACATCGGTACAAAGCTGCATAAAGTGGCTGAAAAAAAATTTATCATCATTCTCCCCCACCCTCCTTTAATAAAGTTTTATCCACAACACTCCTGAGAAGCAGTCCTTGGACAATTGCTCTAGCCATATTCCCTTATACATCCAGTTCCCTTCTACATATTTCACTAACATGTATGTCTGGCTAAGTCTCTGCCTAGCCATTTCCATCTCTAAATCTCCTGGAAATTTGAAGCTGAACAGGCAGTCCTAAACAGCCCTGTATATACATCCTTAACAAGAGAGGCATTTTTCTTTTATTATCTGGAGAGATTGAGGTGTTTGAGTAGAAGAAAATAAGCAAGCTAGGACCTGACATATAAAAAGACTGTTCTCTTTTCTCAGTTCTACTTTTTGGAAGCTTCAGCTAGTATCTACACAAAATGAAGGTTTGTTACTATAGATTTATAGTAACTGGAAATTTCACATAGAGCAGTAAGTTTTTAACAGCTTTAACAAGTTATTATTTAGATTTGTCACACCAGAAATTTAGGAAACCAAGGCAAAGTAAAAATTTATTTCACTGTTTCACAATACACACCTAAAATCTACATGATTATTAAAACAGTCATACACATATTCTTTGATTAACAGTTTGCATCACATAACAAAGGTTTATATAAGTGCAGTATTTTCTCAGAAGTTTAAAATACAGGTATTGCTAAGATTTTTCAAGTAAAAAACCTTGTATTGGCTGACTGAGCGTCCAATACAGATAACATTCTTGCATTTTAAGTTACATAGAGGAATTTTAGGATTCTCTTCATTACTTACCCAAAAATAATAGTGATGCTCAAGACTGCAGGTACATAGACTACCATCAATGAACATAATCACATCGATTATGTTGTCTAAAGGCAAGCAGGACTTACAGAGCTTCAGCTCAGTTATAACTTCTCATCTTCCTTTGCATTGATTTAAAAGCTCAGTCTTAAAATACATTCTCTTGGGCAAATAACTACTTCCATTTTTAAACTGCAGGAGTTAACTGGTCAATGTGAGTCAAATGGTAGTTAACAAAAAACCATGTGTTAATGAAAAACAACTGTAATATGCAAACTGTACCTTAAAGCTCAGAGAAAAATCCACCTAAAGGAAACATATAAACTCTCCAACATTCCAGTCAGTTATCAGGGGAAGCACACAAACAGTAACACTGAAGTTTGTCAACTCTTACAACTTTGAACTTCAAACAACTCAAGCAACAACAACAGTATCAAAACACGTAGAACAGGAGTACAAACATAACTTGAAGTAACTTTTGAGAAATGTTACATTCCGTATTGCTAAATTGAACTGTAGTACCATCTAGTTAATTAATTTAGATACTTTGAAGTCTCTGTTGATCAAATGGCTTTGTGTACTGTCTTTCCTTTTCTGAAGTGGTATGTCTTACCCTCCTGGGATGGGATAGAAGAGAGGACAAGAAAAAAATTCAATTAATCAGAATAAAGGAACAAAGTCTCATGAAAACTATCTCCAGACACCCTGTACTCTAATTCGCCCCTCTCCAAAACTGACAAAACACAGCTTCCGCATTCCTGTTTCAGAGTACACCTGTCTAGTTCACATATCTGTTGTTTTACAAAAAGGAAGCAAGGTCTTAGAAATTAATAACCTGGAATTACATGGCTTGGAATGTAATCAGAGATTGCAAATCTACAAAGACGGAACACATACAGCAAAAAAAACCCAAAAAAAACCAAAAAAACAAAAACAAAAAAACAAAACCAAACCAGCTTACCAACCTGGACTATGATTTATTGGTTAAAGCAGAGACAAAGCATAACTAGCCACCATCCACAGTAGCTATTTCACTGTACAGACTATCAAGGTTTAAACCCAGCATCCTCTGTCCAAACTAGTCTTTCAGCCATGTCACTGAGAAATGACTAGCCAGACTTATGCTCTAATTGTTCATTAGTTGACTGTTCAGCAATTTTTTATGCTGCCCTGATTAAACCCACTGAATCCAATTTCAGCACTTCTTTCCATCATGAAACAACAGAGAGCCAAACCCACACATCTCACAGCATGTACAAGGAAGAAAAAATTCAAGTGGCATCCACAGATTTGAATTGCTTCATCTTTACAGTATCCTGTAGGTGAACACATTGAAGGTCACCTATGTTTCAGGGATATAATTTTACTTCCCCTACATACCTTTACATTGCTGTCTTGTGATACAAAGTCATTTGTCAGCTGGTTCTCAGGATTAGACAGACAGGATAGTACTGTTTGCATGCCCCTGTCCACGGACTTCTGAAATACAGTTATAGGTGCATATATAGTTATAGGTTATTTTCTTAGTTAAAGCATTACTAGCTAGCAATGTCAGGGTGTCACAGGGTTTACTTGGAAATCAGGATTCCTCAACTGCCTTGTGTTCCCTGAGATACTTGTAATTTTTTTGTCCCCCCCAATCTTCTAAAATTACAAACTCATTATCCCCATTCAGTGTTACAGCATAACAATTCTGATCAGTGACATGCCAGTTCTCTTGTGGATGAGGCTGACAGCAGAGAAATGAAATATCTCCCTTAGAAAACTGAATTCAAAGCCAACTGTTCACTAAATTGGAGCCATCTTCCACAAAACAGTAAGAAAAATAGATATTTGAAGCTTAAAATAAATCTAAGTTGGTAATTTTCATCCTAAGCTTCAACCTAAGACAGCAGGCAGTGCTATTGAATCTGCTTTTTTAGTACCTGTAATATCCACATATTAGGCAAAGTCTTGTCAGTAGACTTAATCAGGTAGTACATACACTTTATCCAGCCCTCAGCACTGCAAACAAGCACTAACAGTTTCAAGGAAACGTGAGACTTCTGAAGTTGTACACAGAAATCAGATACATGGGACTTAACAAGAGGCTGAAAGGAGCAACTATAACCCCGATTCCTAGGATATCTGTTCAAGGCCCTTGACAAAGCTACATAACCCTCACATGCAAATTTCTGGGCATGGCATTTATGATAAAGAATATTAAAAGTTTTGAGAAAGCGGTTACCTTCTGTGGGCTGCTAGGCAACTGCATGGGCTCTGGAACAGCACATTCCATCTGTATAAATCCTGGATCCTCAGAGCCATGATAGTTCACTGAAGTATACACCTATAGAGTTTTAAGTATTACAATGTTTCAGTTACACTGGAAAAACACGCAGTTATGGCGTCACCTCATCTATCCATAAACTGTGCCAAGTTTAATCTTCACAGTTTTGTTAAGTTTCATGAGTAGGGGAAATATTGTGTCATGACCTGTTTTACTAAGACAGTTAAGAATGATACTTACAGTTGCTTAACTGAGATAGTTCTAGAACACTTGTCTGCTCCTACAATCAAGCTTGTAGCATTTAACAACTAAACCCCCATGTACACTTACTCTAAAAACATTTTGGCCTGCTACCATTGAATTGTAAAGTGATACATTATGGCTGTATAATGTATCTACATTCATGCATGTTATTAAAAAAAAAACTATTTCAAGCCAATAGTGTAATCAATAGTTCAATGACTTCTGACAACTTTCAGGAAGAGAATACCATTCACAAGAAAATTACTTACTAAAGCTTTTAAACACTTAATCAAAACTGTAGTCAATAAATACACCTAAATATACAAAAATACCCAGAGGGCAAGTTTAAATTCTGACATTGTAAACAAACAGAGGGTTTTTTTTCTTTTTTCTTACAGGCATTACTTGCATTAAGTCACAGAAACCAAGAATTTTTTTCAGAGGCCAGCAGCACCATCTACAGTTTGTAGTAGCCTGAGAAAATTTTTAAAACGTATTGGAAGGAGCCAAAAAATTCATCAGTATTTGCAAAGAACATGGAGACTTTTTAAACTTAAAATTGTACATCAGGTCAACTTACTTTTCCTTCAACTTTTCCTGAAAAACCAACTCCATTTTACTTAGCATTCCAGAGTTCTGTAACTAGAACATGTAGTTCTGGTGTCAAAAACAGGCAGATCTCTTCCACCAGGTAACTCAAAAAAGCACTACATCAGTAGAAATTCTGAACGACTACATACAATCTTATCAGCAATTACAGATTTTTGTAGACCAGATTACACAGATCCACACAAGAGACTTTTTTTTTTTGAAGTATCAAGCTGTAAAAACAATGTGCTAATTAAGAAGACAGTTTCAGAAGTCTAACTTTGTAGACTTACCGGAGTTGGAGGTATTACATAATTTCTTGGCTCCCCAGCAAGCCACTGCGGTTGAGCCTTAAACAAAAATTAGACAAGAACCACTTTTTACTCATTAATTTCCAACACAGACAAGTAACTGCTCTGTATGAGACATTGTTTATAGCATTTCATGTCTGGATTTTGAACAAAACAATTAATTAATATAGTCTTACATCCAGCAAGATACCTTACTTTATTCAACTATTGCCTTCTCACTCCAAGTTAAAGAAAAATTTTAAAATATTTCTAAATATTAGGAAAATAAGGGAAACCAAATACCTACATTGAAAACAGATCTCAAGCCTCTAGCTGCTTCCAGTTACTCCTAGTTTAGCATCAGTAACAGGACTTAGCCACCCACTTCATTTGTCAGTTCAAACCCCACTATGAGCTAAGCACTTTCTCTGACATTTTCATAGTGCAAGAGCACATCCCCACCCATATACATCAAACATGGTATCATCTGATAAGACTCTGATTCCAAGTTCCTAACATCCTACACTACAGCAGCATGTACAAATGCAAAGCTCCCTCCCACCACAAGTACTAATTCACGTACTTTTTTCTAATTTCAAAGTTGTTTTATCACAGTATAATTAAGAAAATAGTAATGAAACTATAAAAAGAAAAGAGTATGCTAATTTACTCAACAGTTTTCATCACTATTTTGTTTTTGCTTTGGTAGCTGTGAAGAACTGAAGGAAGATAGATTCCAAAGAATGAGAAGCACAAAGATCAGACTCCAGTTAACACTTCATTCCAGCTTAGTCAGGTATCCAACAGCCTTTCTGCTTCTAGTAAAACTTGACATACCTGATAGTTGTAAGCGGGTTGATATCCTATGGGAACTTGCTGCTTTAGCAGCACAGCTGGTGATGAACTGTATGGATAGGGCTGCAAAGAAAGGTTTTTTTTTTAAAAAAAAAACCCTGCAAGTTTGAAGCAAGATACAAATATGATATTTGTAGAGGTATTAGCCAGGAGCACACTTTAGAAGTTACACTGTTATTTCAATTCCTGTGCAGACTAGACTCACTTTTTAAAAGCAACCCTTAGATTTCCCACAGGGCTTGCTTCAGTACTTCAGGCACTAATAACATCTATAAAGTGAGATTCAAACTCCTATAAATCTAAAAATCCCACTTCCACTTGTAACTGATCTTTTATGTAATTTCAGAAGTGCAAGTCATGCCATAAACTTTGAGAAGTAGATCTGAAGCAGACTGACATCTATGAAATAATGGAGTACAATCTGAAGGATCAGTTTCTAGGAGAAAAGGAAGCTAAGTACTCAAATTAAGATGATTTCCAAGTATTTCTTTCCTGAAAGTATTCTGACACTGTGAACATGGAACTTTCCCAGATTCTTCAGGGAATAGTTAAAGGCACATTCCAGCCTTTAAGAGAATTAATGCTCTTAAATTAATAAACTGAAGAGAATCAGCAAGAATACTATTATCAAGCTCTCTGCCTTGCAAGAAAGTATTTCTGCAAGTTTGTTCTTCCTCTTTAAGATATACAAGACGGGGTCAGATTGTAGTCAGTAGTGCCCCATCATACAGTAATGCAGTAAGAGAGCCTGATCTGGTTCACTCACACAGCACAAGACTCATATCCAGGCCAGAAGCACTGTACCCACACCTCAAAATGAATGCTCACCTGCAATACTGTTCTGGGCACAGCTATTAACAGCTGATGCTGGAACACAGTGCTCTTATAACACAACAGCAGTTTAAAACCAAACCATATGTTTGGCTAGGAGAAAAGTACCTGAGATAACTTCTTATCCCACTCTTAGTCTACAAAAATACATTTTAAATTTCATCGTTTATTCTGAAGCAGGACAGCAACACATTAACTATCTGGATACATTTCATTTGTGAACTGCATCTGTGATAGGCAGTAATAACTCAATCTTCCCTCCACTTTCAACAGCTCTCATTCTTAAAGGGTATCTCTTTTTTGTTTTATAATGAGTTAACATCACTGATTCAAATTTTCAAGGTTGCTGGCATTCCTTTGAAATGGTTTGAAGTTGGGTCCTTCTTACTGGGGAAAGCTATATAATAACAGGTGGGTAAAATCAGATTGGAATCTCAATACATACTCCAAAAGTCATATGTGCTTGCACCTTCAAAAAATATTGAATTATGATTCAAAAGCAGTGTCAGGAGCAGACCTACCTGAACATAGGGTGTTACTGGGTTCATGACAGCTGGAGGCTGCACGTATGTCTCCATACCCTGATTACCCCACACGCTCTGGAACTGTGGTGGAGGAGGACCAAGAACTATTTGTCTGGGATGCATGCAGGAATCTTGTTTTGAAACAGATAAAAATAGTATTAAGACATTACTACATGTATTTCATTAGGAATCTGAAGTCAAGCTGGAAAAAATCTTAAAGGTTTTGAGTCACAAATTTAACTCAATATGAACTATATTGTATTGTGCTACCAACCTCCCTCTTATTAAAACAACACCAAACAAGTGAGGTCACAGAAGTCAGAACCCAGGTTTAACTGAAATATACATACTGCATCAGATAAAAAGTATTTGCAAGGATAATTATGTATAATTAAGAAAAAAATCTTGTTATATTATAATACCTGCAATATGAACAAATTTACTTAGATATACTTACTTAAGTTTTGTTGTTTTCTGATTGCTGGCCCCAGTTTCAGCTTTTTACCATGGAAGTTGATTTGTGACTGAAAGACAGGTTATTCTCTGTTAGCTGGGAATCAGCAAGGTGAGAGGTTTGTAGGATTTTAAAGAGACTGGGCTCTGCTTCTACATCCCGGTACATCAACTCTCAAAGGCTCAACAACCTCCAGTCTCCTGTCTCAACACCATGCACCTTTTACCTCAGTTGTCCTGCAGTGCCCTCAGCTCAGCTGCCTACTCACCAACCCTCCAAAATTATGTATCACTGGCCCCAATAGTAACATGCACTACTAAAATTTGCAACTATGTATCACTGACTGTCAGCCCTGCTGCTTTACACACACAGGCCTTAACTATTCCTGTCTCGGTGAGAGTACTATTGGAAAGTGACCACAGTCTCAGGTTTCTAGTGAAAGATTTTTGGTTTAGCCACATTGGCACAATTTTAGTACCAAGCAATAAAGTCAGTATTGGATTCAGACAGTCTGTCTAGATTCTCTATCACATGCAACTCTACAGAAACGCCTGCTTCAGAAGAAAATATGTGGTTTTGCAATTTTCTCCCATTTCTGCTAAATAAGTGCTTTGAACAGGCAACAGCAACTGTATTGTTGCCTGTAAAATAAGAAGAAATGCAATGATTACAAAAATCTTGCTCATTCTAATTTCTATCAGCATGAGAAGATGATTCAACAGACATATGAGGGTGAAAAAAGGTGAAATAACCTAGTTATTGCACCAAATAGACTAATTTGACACATGGACTTTTTTGGTTTTATTTTTCTCAGGGAAAAGTGTCTTGGGTGATTTTGGGTATTTTAAAATTAATTCTGGAATCCTGTTGTGCCCAAAATCATGCAACTACCTTTTCCACCTCAACAATGAGAGGTCCTAGGAGACAGGCCTCCCAACTTAAAGAAAGACAACTTTCCAATCTGAACTGCAAACAGATTGATGCTGGACCAGAGTGCAGTTACAGACCTAAGCAGAAGAAAAACACTGTCAGGCTGAACAAGGCTACAAGGCCTTGTTGAACAGGCAGATGAACACAGGCACCAAGAGCAATTTTAGTTACAGGCTCTATCATGCTTATTTACAGAAAACACTGAGCACTCAGTGCAGATAAGGCTTTAAGTGATTTAGTGCAGTAACCTTTGCATACAATTTGAGCTCTACAACACCCATGTTAATTTCTTCCTTTCTTTAATCCCCTCCAAAAGACAACAGGTTCTACCTGAACGTTCTTCCTGAGATGGCAGGTATTTGTACTGCCTGCAGACCTGAAATGTGCAGTGGAAAGAAAACCCACAATATACCTCTGGGTCTTCCAAGACCTCTGGTATACAAACTCAGATCAGTAAGTACTATATTAACAGAGGAACACTGCAGGCTCCAGTTTTGGAGCACACACAGAAAATCAGTACTCTACATGGCTCAAATGTCAATGCTACTCAAGAGGTCTCCACAGAAATTGTTACCTCAGAGCAAGTACTCCACACTGATGTAGCATAATAAATGTAATACATAGTAAAAAGAAAAAGGTGTTCTCAGATGAAGTCTGTTGCTCAGTGCAGCAGTCGCTGTATATTTTTGTCATCATACCACATCAAGTAACAGCAAGCTTTTAAAATCTTTTGGTGAGGATCAAGGATGTCCTGCTGCGGTTTCATTACTCTCCACTTTATTCAAACATATTCTCTTCCCACTTACAGAGCTGGATGGCCAGTAAACACATCTGCACACCACAAAACACTACATTTATGCCTGGCACATCTATCTGGATTTGTCTTTCTGATCTACTTCCCTATCTAAGAGCTTCAGAAGCAAATGAGACACTGTTCATCCTCCAGAGACACAGGAGTTTTCTGAGGCAAAGACTTTAAAGAGGCAAGTATTTCAATACATGTTATTCTCACAGTCACTGTATTCAGGCTGGGGAGAAAGAGGGAAAATAAAAAGCTTTGTCAGTGGTTTGTGACCTGCCCAAGTCTATCAGAACCAACTACCTGATCTGGTTATAAGCGCTGAGATTTATAATTTCTCCAATACCAAACTCCAAAGATCAGAACTGTCTGTAAGAGTTCTACCCCTTCATCTCCTGTGTTTGCTACAGGAAAACTATACGGTGACTGTGTTGTGGTTTAACGCAGTTTGGTTTTTAGTTAAGCAAAAAGGACCTTGGCAGCTTTCTTCAGACCTGATAAAACCAATCAGCTGGCTAGTTTTCAATACTGACACCCTGTTAAACCACTTAAAAAAAGCTGAACATGCCTCTGTGAAACCACACTTAAAAATGAACAAAGCCTGGGAAAAACTCTCTTGCTTCCAGCCTTTGAATGCTGGCTGGACCAGGCCTGGCCCCGCTCTGCCGCACAGGCAGGCTGGTGGAGATTCTGTGGCTGGAGTTCCAGCCACAGCCTGGCCCTGCTCTGGCTGTGAGCTGCTGAGCCATCCTGCTGGCAGCAGCTAAGAACAGAGGCAGCCCTGCAGCTGGAATTGACCACGGCATTGCAGCCACACAGCCAGAGCAGCCGCTGCCCAGCAGAGATCCCATGACCACCTGCAGGCCTGGTGTCCTTTACATGGCAGGAGAGGCTCCTCTCCCTATATAAACTGAAGAAAAGATTATTTTAAAAGCGGTAAACTGACTGAAAATACCACATTTGTCTCTTAGCATTGTCAGTAGGAAAAGACAGAAGACTTGGGGGTAGGAAAAGTGTTATGAAGGTTTATTCTGATTTCTGTTTTGTTTTTAGTCCTGTTAAAGAAGTTTTCTTTACATCCTTTAAAGTTTTGAGCCTGCTTTGCTCTCCTCCTTATCCTTATCTCACAGCAGAAAATTAGTAAATAATTCTAGTGGATGCACTGGTGTTTGGCCAGCACTTAGACCCACTACACACAGGAACAGCCACAGGACAATCTAGGAGGCTTAAAAAATACTTGCACTCCAAGTAGCATCCAAATGCACAAATATTGCAAGAGAAACATTTCAACTACTGAGACATAAATAAAAAAATTAATACTGTCTTCCATGATACTGTTACTCCTATGCCCTAGGAACCCAAAATGTTATTGTATTTCATCTATCTGTGCCCAAAACTGTTACTGTCTCCTAAGACCCTGGAGCCAGAAAACACAACCATGGGGCAGAGTGGGGCAAGTGCCCCAGCCTTTTCAAAGTTCAAGCAGAGACAGCATTCTCTCTTGCCTCATGGTCTTTACTCAAGGCAGATGCTTTGCTCTGGGTTTTTCTCCCCCTCTTTTGTTTCTCTCCTGCATCTTGGACTGGCTCAAGGTGAATCCCACGACTGCCTGTCTGCAGCCAGCACAGAGCAGCCCTGCAGAAGTGAAGGCAGGGCTACCCCAGCCCAGCTGCCTGGCCTTGCCTGGCTGCCAAGGAAGGCAAATCCCTCCTGTGAGTTCCAGCCCTTGACCAAGTACCAGCTGCTGAAGAGTGACAGCTGCATTCATCAATGAAAAGGTAAGAAGGGGGAGGGTTGTCACCATTTTCCCCTTGGCTTTGGAACTACAAGGTTGGTCAGCTGCAGAGGCCACTATTTTGGGGAGGTGTCGCCCTAACATTTCAAGCTCCTCTTTGGTCCCTGGGAGTCCAGGAGATTTCAGCAACTTTGTAACTAGTGACTATTAGTGTTATTTTTTTGCCCCTTGCTACTTCCTTCTTTATTAGTAAACTGTTATTTTTTCACTTATATCTATCCATATTTGTTTCTCCTTATTGGTGGAAAGGGATTGGTTAATCTAAAGGAGAGATGACTCATTTTAGAGCATCCCATTTTAATTATCTTAGACCAAGACATCCCAATAACTAAATGTCTACATTTCTGCCATAAGCAAAAGGGTTCTATGACAATCATCCACTACCAAAAGCAAGCAGCCAAACAACTCAAGGCTTTAAAGCACATAAAAAGACAGCAATCAGAAACAAAATTACATTAGATGTTTGACCACACCAGGCTAAAAACTAACCTGCTGAAAACTAATCTTGCTTCTTATTTAAGCAAATACATAAAGATTTTACCACCAGTACACATTTTAGAAAGTTTACCTTTTGGGCAGCCCTAGACTTTTTGTGTCCTAACTTACTCTACAGGGTACATAACTTGGCTTCCACAAACTTGTCTCTAACCTTCATACCTCAACTTCTTAGAGTCATTTGGACAAAGTTGAGCTTACCTCAACTATCTTTTGAACATCCACATTGTCCAGGAAAGACACAAATCCATACCTAAAAAGGAAGAACAGACTACTCAGTAATTGGTATCATTTGATTATAAGCCAAATTATTTGAAACAAGACCAGTTAACAACATGCCAGGTACATTATATACTGCACATCCAAATTATCAACTAGGACATTAATTTATGACTGAGGCCAGATGCAAGAAACTAAATGCTAGATTTTAGAATAACATGAAATAAGGCTTATTTTTCCATTTTAACTACTCAAAATGAGTACAGCTATTAATATTAGCAACTCAGAAAGTTAAAAATTTAAATAAGATCTGACTTATCTTTAAATTTTGCATTTACTACAGAGGTCTGGATGAAAGCAGGCATTATAGGAACAGTAACGCCAGTGGGAGGGAAGCAATTCTTGAAGAGGTTTTTCAATTTATTTCACTGCATTCCTAGTTTATCTGGCCTACACAATTAAGATCATTTCAGAGCATTTTAGTAACAATTGTGTCCCACTAATGGAATAAGTCAAATGATTATCAATACTTGTAACATACACTAACTGCACAGCAGGGTTCACTTTGCAGACTAGGAAGGGATATGAGAAAATGAATTTTATTTCCAGCTCTTCCATTGCTATATATGCTGAAAAAAGACGTGACACTGTAGGAGCTAAGCATAGAATCTAAGAAAAACTCTCTCTGGAAGGAACTTCAAGAGGGTACTGTCTCCTTCTCATCAGGAGGAATAGCCTCAAAACTGGGATGGCCTCCCCAGAACTCAACAGGGTAAGGTCCTTCATCTTCTTATTTAAGGGTTTCACCATGGTAATCCAGAACTCCTCAATATATTCAAAGGGAATTTCCTTGTTTCAACTTCGTTCACATACTTAGTCTTCACCCAAAAAAAGTTTGGGCTGTTTTACTCTAGAACTTACTCACAAGTGTCAGGAGAGGGCAGAATCATTGCCCTGAATAAGCCATCTTAATTCTCCTCATCATCCTGAACTGTCCCCTGATTTTTAACTACTCTAGCCAGCAGAAGAGTCCTACAAAAGAATTGGCTGTGTAAGCATCACAGAGTCAGGCTTTGTTTTCAATGATTGAGTGACAGTGAGCTTCTTTTCCCTGAACAGAGAGGTTGAAGTCAAAAAATTAATGCTATTCTTTGTAAGATTATACTATTTAATTTGGGGCAGTATAGATTTACTGGTTTCAGTCTTAACTCACCATAACAGAAGACTGCAGCTAGTATTAAGGCTTAAGGATGTCAAGTGTGTTGCTAAGCATATGCTCATATCACCTATTACAGAATGCTGTCCACATAAGCAGCAACTTAAAACAACTACTCATATTCTACCCACCCCTTCGAAACACCAGTCCTGTCAGTGATGACCTTCACCTCCTTCACAGTACCATATTGTTCAAAGACACTCCGAATTTCTGCTTCATTCATCTAAAAGAAAACAAGGTCTTAAACATCTTCAGAAACATTCAACTGCTTAGAACTGATTTAAAGCAGGCAGTACCATTTTTTAAACCCATTTTCCACTACCATAAGAACTAAAAGTTTGTTTTGGAAAACACGTTCCAGAATTCTCCCATGACATTTCAATATCTTCTAGATTGGCAAATGCACACACAAAGAAAAAAAAAAAAAAAAACAACCCCACCACCACAAAAAAATTTAAAAATCCACACTAAAACAGGAGCAAAATTTCCACTTACTCTCCACTGATGTACCCTATACCCATTTTAAACAAAAGTGTATACATACCCTTATGTCAATTCCACCAACAAAGACTGTGTTGGGCATGATTTTTCCTTCTGGTAAAACATAGCCCTGACTGACTGTTGCTGAATAGGCACTGCCATCTGTGGTGCTTGAACGCTGGGCCTCCACATGTGCTGCCTAAAAAATTTAAACAGAAATATTTATTTTAGTCAATTAGATTACATTTGAAGACACCAGAATGCCTGCATCTTCCTATAGATATAGCAGGTGACAAGGAATTTCAATAGCACAAATGGACCATTCATTGGTTCCAACACTTCTCAGTTCAAATGAAACTGGCTCTATAAAATCTGGGAGGAAGATTAACATGAAGTGAGCAGTTTTTCACCCACCTGGTATTCTGCTTTTATTTGGCTGCATACCCAGCTAAAGGGCATTTGAACTGAAATCTGAGATGGCAACTCCTCAAGCTGACCTAACTGCTGCTTCTACTTCTTTCTTTCTGGATGTGTCAGTGAACCAAGCTAGAAGTGGTATTCACTTTGCTGTGCAAGCTCTCTGGCAGCCCTAAAACAGGAAACGGCTCTCAGGGGAGGAGCCCAGCAAGTGCCAGAACCAGCTGAAGGAAGCTGGTAACCACAGACACTGCTGGTAACCACCGACACTGCTGGTACACCTGTCACACACGGCCTTGGCCACCATGGAAGTGCAGTACTCGTGTCTCACACTAATAATGCAGAACTGCAAAGAAAATAACTTATTCAACACTCTCACACATTATGTACCTGAAAGAAAGAATAAACAGACTACTTAGGCATTCTAGCAAGCTGGGCAACATGAAAAATAAGATTTATTGATACATGTATTTCCTAGAACTTGAAAAGGAGACCAAAAATGCAGTGGTAAAAGTCTTCTAGAACAAAAAGAAAGAAAATCTCCCTCCAAAGCTACTTTTCAAGTCCTCAGTATGATGATGGAAAACACTTGCCGATGCAAAAAATTACTGTCTTATCTAAACCTAAATAATTTTGTCAACATAGCACTACACAAATGACTGTTCTACATAGACGATGCACAAAGACCTCACACTGCTGACTGGAACTACAGCATCAGCTGAAGTGACTCACCCCTTTAAAATTACTCTAAAAGAAGTCTAATTTGTCTATCTCATGAAGTAGCTCTGAAATCAAATTTCCAGACGCCACGAATATTGGGGTTTATTCAGTTTTTCAGCTTATCAGAATTAACAGGCGTTTTTTTTCTTCTCTCGTCAAAATATAAAATTAATCTGTTTGCTCTCTATTATTGAAGTTTAAACTGATGAGCAGAAGCATGAAGCTTAAAATTGATGAGGGGAAACTGGTATAACAGTAGTCGGGAGACTAGTTAAGAATTTTGGCAAAAGGTGGAAAAGGACGATTGTTGGGCTACGTGGAGGAAATACCTATCTACCCGCCCACGTGTGTTACAAACACCACTCAGTTTTACGCTCATCCAGGAGAGAAAAACGTTCACTTATTTTTGGCCACACAAGCCCCTGATTTTTCAGGCTTCTCCCTGGCCTCAGCACATTTTTCGTTTAAAGTAAGCATTAGTCTTTTTTTTTTTTTTAATTGAAACATTTAAACCCCGTGACCCACGTCCCGCCGCGCGGCCACTGAGCGCAGTCTCCATGACAGCGCGGGTGCCTGAGGGAAGAAGGCGGCTGGCGCCGCAGCCTTCCCGCTGGGCACTAAGTGGAGCCCTCGGCCCAGCACTACACGGTAGGCACAACCTCTCCTGTATTAAAAAAAAATAAATTAAAAAAAAAGACAAAACAAAAAAAAAAGCCCCACTACCTTACTCGTATAGTGTTTGAAGCCTCAGCACTACAGTCGCAAATCACGTTTCTCACATAGAACAAAGAGCAAGCAGCACGCCGGTGCGGGCCGAGGAACCCGCGGCACTCCGGGCGACGCCGAGCCTCTGCTCCGGCAGGGGGAGACGTAGGACCTCGGCCAGGCGAGGCGCCGCTCGTGGTGCCGCCGCCATTTTACCTCACACCTCGGCTGCCCAGCGCCGACGGGGCGTGGGCAGGAAGGTTTGGCGCCACAGGACAATGAAAGCTATTCACAAGCCCCAGACAAAGGGTCCTGCCGGAGCCTACGCGCAGCGGGTACACTGCCACGGGCAGGCGGCGGGGCGCCCGCCCAGCCGTGCGGGACGGCGCTAAAATAGCGCCGTCACAAAATGGCCGCTTGAGGGTGTGAAGCGTGTTCCGACGCCAAGCCACCCCCCACGCAAACACCGTATCGGCAACAGGTACGAGCCTGAGATTCCCCTGCAGAAGCCCCCGGCCTTTCAATTGCGGTATTCCCTCCTTCACCTTAACCGCTCACCTTGTAAGGTGTTTAAACCTTCAAGATAGTTATAATGCTAGTAGCCCTCAGGGCTTCAGCGCCGTCACCGCGTTACAATGGGACACTGCTCCAGCTGAGGGCATTCCCGTTTCTCACCCCAAGAACAACCCGAAGAAGTTACTACTCCACTCTCTGCTCCGCTGCCCGCTGGGGTCCCCCCTCAAGGCACTACATCACCCAGCAGAAACCCGCCCGGGAGCTCAGCGTTCAAACAACCCCTATTCCACCGCCCTAGCGCACCTCCCCTTCGGCGTTCACTCACCATCACTCACTGGAGCCGAGGCTGCGCTCACACACTTAAAAAAAAATAAGGATTTTCAAACAAAACCCGTATGAACTTTTTCGAGAAAACTAAGCGCAGACGGTCGCTCTTCCTTGTTCGCGAAGCTGAATTCCCGACGTCGATAAAAGCCGGCGGTAAGTAATCCCGTTCTCCTTAAATAGCCCCATTGGGGGATGGCACAGAAGAGGCCACACCCTCCCTCCGCTCTTCGCACTCGTCGTGCGCCCCCCACCCCCCTGCCACATGGCGCCTGTCCCTTCGTGTCTGACTTTTAGAAGACAAAGGATCGAAAATGCCGTGGCTTTTCTGGATTTTTTTTTTTTTTTGAGGGGGGAGCGAATTAGGCTGCGACTATCATTTGTGTCATCTTTGCACAGGAAGCTGCTGTTGAGTGCACGGCACAGCAGCAGCAGCTTCTGCCGGTTTGACAAGAGCTGGTGCTTCCCTTATGGAGGTTTTGAGAATGGTGTGTTATTGAAGAGGCTTTACACGTCTTGAGGCAAAAGCTCGGTCTCCATCCTGTGACCGCCTGTGCTGAATTCCAGCTTTCTGTCTGATCACCAGTGGCTCAAGGCCTTTCTAGAAGGAAACCTCTCTGGAGCCCCTCCTGATTCTACAGGAATAAGATTGGATTTGGAAATTAGTTTTAAATAGCTGTTTACCACTAGAATCAAATGTTTAGAACATATACTGATTTTAGAAAGTTCCAGGGAGAGTAGAATCTTATGGACATCTCACCAAAATTAACTCAACCTCTGACTGGGCTAGGTTAATAAGATGTTTAATTTATGGTTTGGGTTTTTTGCTTTTTTGTTTGTTTGAGTTTTGGGGTTTTGTTTTATGGTTTTAATTTGTTTCTGTTTTGGTTATTCTTAGAGCAAAGACATACAAGTAATCCTTGTTAGGGATGAAAAATTGAAGTAGAAAGCAAAACTGATGGAGTGTATTTAACACATAAGATGGTTTTTCCAATCAAATTTTATGTCTTCTAATGATAAGATTTTTTTTAATCGGTTTACCAAGTGTTTACCTTTTCCAGTAGACTGCTCTACTGGGTTTACATGGGACCCAGAGCTGGTTTAGGTAATACCAATAACAAAGCCCTGATCAAATAGATGTGTTTATGTTACCTATAGAAGAGATTTTGTTAAATCTAGTGGGGTTGCAATATTATCTAAAGATAAGCATATGCCTGGGCTTTCATGCAGCAAATGCCCACTTACTTAAGTGAAAGGCATGCTGTACAATACTTTATCAGATCTTATTTGAAATGGCTGAGACTTTGAAAATGGGCCCCAACAACGAGGGGAAAGTAATACATAGTATTTACTTTGGTGTAATGGATTCATATTTGACCTTAAGGGTGGCAACAAGTGAGGTTGTTCCGAGCTTTTTGTACTGGGTTTGGGTCAGGCTTGTATCCTGTTTTCGTTATCTAGGTACTAGCTTCTAAAACTGGAGAAGATCTGTTGCTTAAAACAAAGGAAAAAGTAATTTATTTTCTGCTGCCAATACACAAACTTCAAAAGGAGTGGAGGAAGTGGAGTAGGAAATTTTCGTCTTAGCTTGTTTTATTAATACAGCTATTAGAATGGTTGTTGCTCAATAGATTTATTTGTTAAATGCACTAAGTAGCAGAAGAAGAAAGATTTTATATTCTGCTGCACCATGTAGTACTTACCACTTTAATACACCAATTTTTTTTGTTTAATTTTTTGTCTTTAATTAGAACATTGATAAATCAATTAATTTAGTAAATCAGAATAATTCAGGGAGAGCCTCTGGCTTGGGATCTGATAGACTGCAGTGGGTGAGAATTCTACAAAATATGTCCTGAAAAATTACCAGTCTGATTACAGATAGTAGAGGTTGCATCTTGAAATTTAATACTCCTAAGTACAGGACTACATGCTTTAAAAGTCAGGTTAGATTTAGGCTTCCTAGAAGTAGACCTAAAAGTGGATAGCAAGGGTATCATGTAGCATTTGAATTTTTGTAGCATTTATCGTAACTTTTCTGCAATTTTGGAATCTTTTCTTGTGAATAATATTGACTCTTTCTGTAAAGTTAAAACAGCTTACTACTCTTAGGAGATTCATAAATATGAAAAGGAGAATATGAAAGAGATATTCAAGCTATTAGATTAAGAACAAGAGAAGAAGGTCCCAATGTTTAGACAGCAAACTTGCCTAAGAAAAAGATGCTGGGTAACCAAAGAGGATTTGAATATCTGTTTTCTGAGTTTCCTACTTCATACTGAGAGAGTGCCACATACATTTCACAGTAGGCTTTAAAGCCCTGAAGGGGTCATTCTATATCCGGTTAAACTTTGGATGTTTCCTTTGCTGCTCTTTGCATTAGAGTAGCTATTTAAGAGGATGTATCATAATGTTCTGATGAACATCTAACTTTTTTTTAAAAAATATACACTGTTATAATTTGCACTGAAACCACTAGAGTATCCATAATCAAAACACAATCTGTGTTTTCACTAGTACAATAAAATCCTTCAAAATGTAGTGACTAATTTGCTGAATGGTTTTCCTTATATTCTCCCCTGACTCTAAGTAGTGCAACACAAGAAACTTCTATTAAAAAAACCACAATTTCTGCATATATAATATGCCAATAAAATTAATTCCCCCCCCTTGATTTGGATGAAAACTGGAATATTATTTTCAACATTAATTATTTAATTTTCACTAGTAGAATTTGGGAGCTTATTTTTTCTAGAAGTTACATTATTTTAGAACACTTTAATTCATCTGATAATAAATTTAACTCATACAGTCAATATCTAAGTGAAAACTTAAGAGCTAAACCATATATAACTTATCTATACCTAAGTCAGGACACTGATGAAATTATTGTACAAGGTTGTCAAGGCTATGTTTAGCACTATCAATAATTATGATTAGCCTTTAGGCGTTTAAATTCAGACAAGTTCTTTAAATTTAACCTGAAAAATTTTAACTACTGTAGCAAAGCTGGTCCACACTCCAGTTTGTACTATGGCATGACTGAAAAATTTCAGTGTATTGCACAGGTATGTAATATTCTTCATCCAAACATTCTACAAGAATGACTCCTACAAATACACAGGAATATGTAAAGACAGCTGTGCGTGATTCAGATCAAAAGTACCTCCAGCTCAGTGTCTTTGTTCAGAGTAGCCAGGAGTGCCCAGAGAAAGGATGTGAAGACAGGGCAGATGTAGAGTGATTTTTCTTACTTTTAGCTTCTCCCTGTGCTTGCCAGACTCCAAAGCATGTCCTGAGCCCCTTTCATGACTGTATTTGATGATACTCAGTGATTTTTCCTGTAAAGTTCTGTGGTCTCTTTTTGAACTTGGGGTTAACACATGCACAAGAGCATTTAACACTGAGGGCCAGAGGACAAAAAGGTATTGAATGGAAAAAGTACTTGGTTGCTTAAGCTTTTCTCATTATAACTAGAGCCATGTCATTCATTCAACACTAATAATAAAAGTAAAATATGTTTATGAACAATTTCACCTTGCTATCCTATGCTTCCAGGACTGCTCTGAATTACAACAAATTTTTGCAAAATAAAAGAGTTTTTTTACTGCACTGGGAGTTTTAATATCTGTCTGCTTTACAATTCGTTTGTTAGCAGTTCTGCCTTTTCTCTAAACTTACAGACCCTGAAAACTTTTTTCCCTCGCCATGCTACAAGTTCAAATTACTTGCAATGACAGGAGCCATGTCCCTTCCTTCAGGGTGTTTCATTTAGTGTCTTGTGTTGAAAAAACAGAATGTAGAAGCCAGAACGAATAGAATAAACACTGTCTGATATTGGTCACTTCCTTGCAGAGCATTACTGTTAAAAACGGGACCACAGTCCCGGTACTAAAAGTGATTTCAGCATTTATTATTTAAAAAAAAATAAAGGCTTAAAGCATGGGGGCCCGCGGGCCGAGCAGGAGCGGTCCCATCGAGGATGCTGCAGCGCCGGCGCTGGGTTCTTTCTTGAGCAGCGATGTCCCAGATGGAGCGGCACGGATTCACTGGGTCAGATGCCCCTTTTTATCCTGTTTTTTGTCCCTTTGGACTGGTTTCTGTTTGGATCCTTCATTTGCGTGAAGGTTTAAGGCGCTTGATTGGCACATGACGGTTCTGTTCAGGCTGGCTCGTTTTGCTTTGTGCGGGGGGGGGGGGGGGGGGGGGGGGTTGTGATGCGCTTTACTTCGGTGTAATATGGTACGTGGAGTACCGTATTTCTTATAACTACCCTTTTAACCCCTTTTACAGTATAATAACCAAACTAACAGTACATGCTTAACAATTATCAACTATTTTACAAGTTTTGTGAGATTTCTAACCTATTTCTGGCAATGACCCTTCCATCTGCTATAGAAAAAAAAGGAGTAAAAAGCAGGACCCTTTATTGCTTTTCTGTATGCTCTTGAGCGGGTTGCCAGCCTTTACAGAAACATGGCTTAGAGAAACCTCTCAGCTCTCTGCTTTGCCCCTGATTTAGTCCATCTTTCACTCAGTTGTTTCCTTCTGAAAAAGCAACAACTTTTCACAGTCTCCATTTTATACTCGATTAAATAAACCCCAACTATCTGTTTTTTCTCATTTTCCATTTTTATAAAAATTATTCTCTGAAAAGGATAGAACTGAGAGAGTGTGAAAAATGCATGTATTTTATGATTGGCTTTTTGCAAATATTAAAATGAATATTACATGTGTTGTTTTAGAAAGTAATGCTGTAATAATTACCTTAAGTACTGTGTTAAATATAGTTTTAGGTTATAAAAATTGTTAAAGTAGAAACGATGCTATGCAGGATACTTTTTTTAAAAAGAAAGGACTCGCATCGAGATAGCAGCCACAGGACACCTAAATCTTTCAGAGAAGAATTTATGGCCCTCTTATCAGAAGAAACGAACTTCTTCCCGTCTCTCTCTCTCTCTCGAAGGCGCTGTTAGGATTCGGAGGAAGAAGTTGACAATGACCAGACAGAATCCTGTGTTTTAATGGAATTTATGCATCGTGTATGAAGTGTATGAATATGCAACAGGTTATTGCTTTTAAGGGTTAATCCTTTGTTAACGGGTGTCCTTTTTCGGGCTCGTGCTGCCCAGAAAAAGGTACCCGGACGTCCGTAACTCTTTGCATTTATTGTCTCATATTGTCCTAATTCAATTTGTCCAAATTATTATTACTCTAATTGTATTACTATTTTTATAACCATTTTATTACTATTAAACTTTTAAAAA